CACTGCAATATGTTTCACTTGGGTCAATTTCTTATCTGTAATCGGTAAATTGCATGTTTTACTTCCTCTTTTTTCTCGCTTCTAAAGTTTAATATTTTCTTTGTCTACTTTTCCTATTACCATCTTTTGTACTGTTTTTTGATATATGCAGAATATATCCAAGAACCCATTCAAGTGTTGAATTTTTTTTTTGACAATTGACATAAGTAAGCTGACCTTTCTCAAGCACCATTATCAAAACACTTACACAGACAAATATCAAATAGTCTAACATCTGTAAACTTGGTTTAAATGTTGCAGAGGACTTCTTGCCGTCAGAGAATCTACAAAGGTCATGTACTTTGTCAATTAGTCTCTTTATGCAAATAACTAAACTGCTGACTTCAATGATACTTGCTTTGTTGTACAGTACTTTAATTTTATTAGCTATGACTGTTGCTTATTCAGTAATACTTGCGCAATTGTTATTTTTTAATCAATAGTCATGCTTGGAAAACATCAGCAGTTAGCAGTTGATTTGTTTGGAGGAGTCTAGTTTGTCCAAGAATACTATGTTCAGTTTAACTTTATGTGTTAAGAGTAACCATTTTTATTGTCAATTTTGACTAATTAAACTATAAAACAAAAAAACAACATAATTGAAGCATAATATATGGGAGATTCCATGTGAAAACATCCAATTTTTTTTGAAAATGCAACCATAAGTCTCAGATTTTGCTGATTTTTAAACCACTTAAAGATTTTAGTAAATTATGAACATCCTGAAAATTTTATCGTCTTATTTCAATCGGTTCCTAAGATATAGCTATTTTAAGTTTGCCTCCAACCAACAAAAATCCGCCATTTTTAAAAATGGTTTTGGTCCTAGTTTCTGTTATATGTGTGTTGGAAAGCTGAAAATTTGTACCTTTACATATTTTGGGCCAACGAATCCAATGAAACAACTTAAAATATTTAAAAACAAGCATAACACTTAAAATTTGAACGTTTACCACAATTTTATTAGGGCGAGTCCGATCACAAAAATGCCGATGTAGCTCGATTTTTTTTTTTTTTTTTTTTCTAGAAGTTGTTCTGAATAGTTAAGCTATAGTTACTACAAAGAATTGGAGAGTGGTCTTTTCTAAAACAGAAATAAAAATATGGTCAAATCTACTTAAATTTATTGCTTAAAAAACAGGTATTATGACAAATTAAACAAGAAAAAAAATGTGGTAATTTTACAGTTTTGCAACTGAAACAGTTTAGGCTACATCAAACTGTTCTTTTAGTTGATGTTGACTAGCTGTTTCTGTTTTCTTTGTAATTTTTTAGAATCTGATCTTGAAAAAGTTTAGTTTTAAGGGGGAGAATTATATAAATGCAGATGTATATTGCAAATTTAGTTTTTTTTTCAGAAGTTGTATTAAATAGTTTAGTTGGAGTTATTACAAAGAATCAGATTGTGGTCTTAAATCAGAAATAAAAACATCTTCAAATATACTTAAATTTATTACTTATAAAACATTAGTTTCATGTTTATCAAACTTCATTTAATAAACTTAAAAAACAAAGACTCCAAAACAAATAGAGCACTCGGAAAGAAGTTCAAGAAACAAAAGTAATATACAAAATTTAAAAATTAAAAACTCAAAAAAATTTATCAGTTATTGTGTTATAATCATTAACATCAATGTTATATGTTCGCCCTGGTTTTGTTGTTGGGACTTTGATTACTGCAATCAAACTCGACAATGGTACTCAACAGATATCATCTCTCTGTGGCCAAATAAAGTTTTGAGAACGGCTGTGAGGATGCATAAACTTAATTTGAATATCATTTATAATGATATCTATCTCTGTAACCATGCCTATCCACCAAAAGGAATCGTACTTGCATGCAACAAAATCATTTAGATTTAGTACAATAACAACATCAGACATTACTGCTTTTGACAGTATAAATCTGTCAACACATTGATGTTCGCTTGTTCTTTTAAAACTAATTTCTAATTTTGAAATAGGTAAGTAATGATGATAACTTCTGGTACCTAGAACAGTTTTTCCTGTTTCAAATTGCTCCTTTAGTTGCTGTCTCCTTGCATTAACTGTTTCTTTGGAAATTTTATAAATTATGATTGTGTTTATATTGGTGATGTAAAATTTAAGCATATCATCAACTGTTAATATTTAGTTTTCCAATGCCCTTTGCAAACTTGCTCTTGCTGTTATTCTTTTAACGATACCACCTATGTCATCACAAGTGGATTTTCCATGGCTGGTTGCAAAAAATACCCATTCAGCTGTAATCTCTAAATCTTCCTTATGGTGGCATAGATTTATAAAGTTTTTATAGTTTTTATAATGAGCAGAACATCCATCAGAAAAATAATAAATTTTATTGATACCAACTAAATATTCCTTAATGTACTCTACAATTTTCTTTTGAAATTCATACACAAAGCATGTATCATGATCATTATCATCGCTTAAAAAACAGAATGACTTATGCTGAATATTTGTTTTAGAAAATTCTTTAAAAATATATAAATACAGGATGAAGTGTACATTGTTGTTTATTCCAATGATAACTTTGTATTTTATCCTGTATAACAAATTGATAGTTCTCTGCAAAATCTGCCTGTATAATACATTCATTGTAACCTAAATTATTTTTTAGTTTTTTCAAATAGCGAGTTTGGCATTTAGCAATATATGAATGTGAAGTTAGATAATTAATGTGAGAAACAACTAGTTCTTTATATTCAAATAAATTAACTGATTGAGTAATTAATGGTGATCTATCAGTACTTTGCCATTGGTTGAATTGAATTTCTTCTTCTTCATCAATCTCAATTAATTCCTCATCTAAAAATGCCTTTAAGTTATCATAACCTGGACATTTGGCACATCTATGAACCATGCATTCATTATTGCTTGTATCACATACTAATTTTGACATTAAATCTTTGTATGTAACATTCCATTGGACAGCATTTACAAGCAATATTGAGTTTTGATGGTAAATACAAACACATACACAGTATGTACCATTTGGTCTCACACTAATACACCATTTTGGACGCATATTATAATATATTATATTATAATATATTAATTTATATAATATATATATATATTATATTATAATATATTAATTTATATAATATATATATATATATATATATATATATATATATATATATATATATATATATATATATATATATATATATATATATATATATATTGTATTATAATATATTAATTTATATAATATATATATATATATATATATATATATATATATATATATATATTATATTATAATATATTAATTTATATAATATATATATATAAGTTAATATATAATAAATAATTATATAAATATGCGGTAGTTGTGTAGAGGTAGAACGCTCGGTTCATAAGCGAGAGGTTCCAAGTTCGATCCCCACCACGTCCCTGGTAGTACCGCACTCAACTTGTTTCTCCGTACAGCTGCCTTATTTGTCAAGGTTCGTGTTTCGGAGTTATAGAGTCAAGAGAGGGTTATAACCATAAGTAGTAGCCTCCTCGTCTGTAGTGGCCTGCTCGGCCTTGAGAAGGTGAATATTAAAAAATATATATTACCTTTAACCTTCTTTTTGTGTCTTTTTAAAACATCGCAACACTTATCATTCTTTAGTAGAAAGATCGGTCCAAAAACCTGCTCATGATGATAACAAATAAACTTTATCTCTTCGTATGATGTAGTCTCAAGCAAACCAGACCTCTAAATATAAGTATCTTGAAAGTCCTTTTCTAGATTACAAAAATCTTTTAATCCTTGTTTTCGAACAAAACATATTTTGTGACATTCATCTTTTAAAACATTTCCAAACCCACAAGATTCCATTTTATCAATATACTATTATTATTTCTGAAAAAGATGCAAGAAAAATCTATGATTCATTCAATGTGTTCATGGGTTCAGGGTTGTTTAGGACTAGAAATTTAAACTTAATTAGTAAGCATTCTAACTTTAATTTTACAACCTTATAAACATTTCTAAACCATAAAACTACTAAAAAAATAGAAACAGGAATTCAACAACATCTAAAAGAACATTTCGATATAGCCAAAACTGTTTCAGCTTCAGAACTGTCAAATTATCACATCTTTTTGTATAGTTAAATTTATCAAAATACCTGTTTTTTAAGCAATAAATTTAAGTAGATTTGACCATATTTTTATTTCTGTTTTAGAAAAGACCACTCTCCAATTCTTTGTAGTAACTATAGCTTAACTATTCAGAACAACTTCTTAAAAAAAAAAAAAAAAAAAAAAATTGAGCTACATTGGCATTTTTGTGATCGGACTCGCCCCAGTAAAATTGTGGTAAATGTTCAAATTTTAAGTGTTATGCTTGTTTTTAAATATTTTAAGTTGTTTCATTGGATTCGTTGGCCCAAAATATGTAAAGATACAAATTTTCAGCTTTCCAACACACATATAACAGAAACTAGGACCAAAACCATTTTTAAAAATGGTGGATTTTTGTTGGTTGGAGGCAAACTTAAAATAGCTATATCTTAGGAACCGATTGAAATTAGACGATAAAATTTTCAGGATGTTCATAATTTTCTAAAATCTTTAAGTGGTTTAAAAATCAGCAAAATCTGAGACTTAGGGTTGCATGCCCTGGATGTTTTCACATGGAATCTCCCATATGCAAGTAAATATCTTTTAATGAAATGCAGGGTCGTGTTAACGCTTGCATGTTAGTTGCAGGGTGGTAGTGAAATTAAAAATATAATTTCAGTACTACCCTGTAATTTTTAATTTAACTTTTTGACCCACTCTATTATATATATATATATATATATATATATATATATATATATATATATATATATATATATATATATATATATATATATATATATTTGCTTAATTTTAGTTTATCTTATTACTAATTATGTTATTATTATTGAATTTTTTTCTAGTTTTATTAAATTTAACTAAGTTACTTTTTTGTTTAGATATTTTTCAACTGATAATGAAGTTGAAGTTGATATGTTTGTTGCTACCATTTTAAGTATAAGGGTGAATCATTGTTTATAATTTTGATAATTGATAATTAGATATTTTAAGTTTTAGTTTCTATAAACAAGTTTTCATTATTAGTATCCAACAGGACTATGGACTCAAATCAATTCAATTGAAGGAGAGAATGAAGAAACAGTAACACTAGCAGTATGTCTTTAATTTTTTATAATATTTTTAAAATTCTTTTATTTTTTTAAGTTTAACTCAGAGTTTTAATTATTTTTTAAAATATGTAAAATTATTTTGAAATTGTATTTGGTGTAGTTTTCTTTTTAATAAAACAGAAATTTTTTTGTCATTTGTTTTTATTCACTTGTAATTGTTTGTATTTGTAAAATTTTAGTAGTGTAATTTAAAATTTTACCATAAAGTTCCCATAAAAGCATGTTACTCAATTAATATTAACAAATGCTTAAGTTTTAAATAGTCGTATAATAACAAAAACAATAAAGTGTTAACAAGAGTTAACAATATGACATTTTATAGGGGAGATTGGTACTGATTTTTTGAAAAAACTGCAGTTATTTCAAAAGTGTCATAATAAATTCAAAATTTAAAGTATATTTTAAGGGTTTATTAATGTTGATATTAATAGCTTAAGGTTTATTAATAGTAATGAGGCAAGTACTTTATTAAATAGTATACTGAGTATTATCTATGCTTTGAGTTAAGTTCTTTAACAAATTTAAAAATGAATAAAGTAACAAGGACTAAAAAAAAACACAAAAAACCATTGTCATCGCCAGTTTCTCTAAACCTATCATTCACTAATGTTCATAGTCTTTGAAATAACTTTTCTTCTGTTGAGTCTTATCTCTTGAAAAGTTCACCAGACCTACTTGCTCTTTGTGAGACTAATTTAAGTTCAGCTGTCTCATCTTGTGATCTTAGTTTTGATGATTATCTTCCATTAATTCATAAAGACTCCAATAGTCACATGCTTTGCCTGGACATTTACATTCGTAAGAATTCACCCGTTTGTTGGGAAACAAGGTTTGAATTCACAGACTATTCTTTTATGTGCTTTTGTTTAGCACCACTTCACTCTATTGCCTTTCTCTTTGTTCTTTATTGCTCTCCTTCATCTCAAGACTGCACGTTATATCTGATCAAATTGACCAAGCTTTTTCTCTTTATCCATCAGCCAATATCGTTGTTGTTGATGGCTTTAATGCTCATCACACTGAATAGCTTTGCTCTAGTGTCAGTGATTCTGCAGGCATTAAGGCCCACAACTTTTTTCTTTGTCAATCTCTAACTCAAATAGTCTTTCTAACTCGTTTTCCAGACAACCCATTTACCTTCTCTACTCAACTTATTTTGTGTTTCTGATCTTAATTAGTGCTCAGTTTCTCCATATTTACCCTTAGGTGTTTCTGATCACGGTTTGATTTTTCTAAAACTATTATCTCATTTTTCTTCATCATCAGAATCTCTTTATCATTGTACATCTTACTGCTTCCTTACAGCTGACTGGGACTCTTTCCGAGAATTTCTTCTTGATGGCCCTTAGGTTGAAATCTTTCGTTTTTCTGCTGATAAATGTGCTTCTTTTATAACTTCTTGGATTCAGGCTGGCATGGATTCTTTGATCCCTCTTGACGGTTCCAAGTCAAGCCTCACTCTTCTCCTAGGTTTACCTTGCATTGTGCTGCTGTAATTTCTAATCAAAACCATTACTTCCATATCTATCAACAAATCAGTTCTCCACAAAACAGATGTTGGTTTACTATTGCTAGAAACCATTGTAAAAAGGTTTCTATTCTCAGGTCATGAAATCTCATATTTCATCTCAAAAATTAGGCTCTCATGATTTCTTGAGAATCTTTAATAGTTTTAATAATGAGGGCAAGTCTGTTATTCCACCTCTCTTGCCTGTTAAGATTTTGTCATCTCACCTAAAGAAAAAACTGAATTGTTTGCTAAAAACCTCTCATCAATTATATCAGGTAGAACATAAGTTATGTTCTTTCTGATATAGCCGATAAACAGGTTGATCCGTTGCTTGACATTTGTATCACTCCAGCTTCTGTATCTAAAGTGATTTCTTGCTTAGGCTCTTCTACAGCTTGTAATCCGGACAACATACCTGTTGTAGTCTTGCAGAAATGTTATCTGTAGCTGTTGTCTATACTTTCAAAACTATTTAACAAGTGTTTATTGGAGTCTTGTTTTCTGCCGTGCTGGAAAGCGGCATCTGTTATCCCTATTTTCAAAAATTCTGGAGAGCGATCTGACTTGTCTAACTACCCTCCCATTAGTCTTCTTCTTATCATAAGCAAGGTTTTTGAGTCTTAAATTAACAAACACCTAATCTCTCATCTTGAATCTAATAACTGTCTGATCATCAATATGAAATTCGATCTTCTCGTTCTACAGCTGATTTGCTAACAGTAATAACTGATAGGTTTTATGCTGCTCAAGCATATTTATAATCATGTGCCATGAGGGAAAAAAGAAAAATTTTATTAACTGGTGTTTATTCGGTTTTATAAGTTTAACTCTTTGTTATTGCTATTTAAATACAAATGTACTTTTGTTCTCTACTTTTGTATTACTGTGGTAGTTAAAATAATTTATTTTTCTATATTTATGGTTTTACATAGATATTTATGTTTGAAATTATGATATTATTAGATGCTTAAAAAGTATGAATGTTTATTTAGGAATCTGAAAACCACTGGGGAAGACAGGTTATTATTTTTGCATTTATGCCTTGTTTATTTTATTATTATTATTATTATTTTTTTTTTTTTGAATTTAAACAAATTCTGGTTTGTTTAAATGCAGTTTCAGAATGTATTACAAAATTACTACCTTTTCAACCCCTTGCAAAAACCCTGAAAATTAACATCCTTGCAAACACCTTGCAAATCCTTTATCTACTTTTTGTTAGATTTGATACGTTTTTGTGAAATTTTTATGATTTTATTTTAAACAAATTTATCTGCAACAAGGTTTGCAAGCAGTCTCTATTAAAGTTGAGAGAGGGAATAGTGAAAATAGTTAAAGTGCAAAAAAAATAGATTTAAAAATTTGAGTAAAAACTTAAAAGTTTGTAAACTGTGAGTCAGGAAAACATGAAGGAAAATTCTAAATTGCTGAGATTTTAGTAAAAACCTAGTAAAGTAGATAACAGTTGTTTGAGTATGAAGAAACAATTTTAAAATAAGGACTCAAATTTGCTGAATGACAAATCACGCGAGATGTGTTTGGTAGATAAAAAAAAACAGAGCTTTCTTGAGCAATAAAAAACCTTTCTTGAGGCAGCTACTTATCTTAACACAAAATTGTTTTAGATATTTTTATGCGCGCCGGTTCTTTCCATAAATCGTACCTTTAACATTTAGTTTTGCCAGTTCTTTGCATAGACCATTTTATTTAAAATACTTCAATTGGGTAACATTCTGTTATATTTGGTGGATAATCTACTTTGGCCATATAGTTTGTGACAAGAATGAAGTCACTATTTTGGCATAATGCGGTGAGACTAGGTCAGGCCAAAATAAGTATGGATCATCATTATGATATTCTTTAATAAAAGACGCTAATCGCTTTTTGATGCAATGTTTCAAGTGAAGATTTTGGTTGACTGCAAGACCACTGGGGACAAAGTACAATTTTGAAACAAAGCATTTTTTGGTTAAATTTTGAAGTGTTTCTATATTTTACCAGAACAGAAGTTGGTTCAACATTGTTTGAGTAAACAATAAAATTGCTATTGATATTATATATGTATATATATATATATATATATATATATATATATATATATATATATATATATATATATATATATATATATATATATATATATTAGGGTCGGGTGAAAATTACCTTTTTTGAAAATTACTCATGGTTTAAACTTAGATTTGTTTTATATTATAAAATAACACAGGATTTATAAATTTTTTTAAATAAAAAATATTTTTTAAATAAAACTGACCCTTATTTAAAGAGCCCCTAGTATTATCTGAAAAAAAAATTTTATTAAATTTTGCTTCTTTTGAGTACAAGGTTGACGTACTTTTAAAATTTTTTTTTTGGATAACATTAAGGACACGTTAATTATTCAAGGGTCAGTGAATACTCTTAAAAAATATTTTAAATTTATATTTTGTGTTATTTTATTATATAGAACAAACCTAAGATTGTAATAGTAGTGATTTTCAAAAAAAAGTAATTTTCGACCCGCCCTAATATATATATATATATATATATATATATATATATATATATATATATATATATATATATATATATATATATATATATATATATATATATATATATATATATATATATATATATATATATATATACATTTATATATATATATATATATATATATATATATATATATATATATTTATATATATTGAAAAGGACAAAATAATTAACAAATAATCCTTTTAAGGATAGTATAATTATCCAAACATAAACTGATGAATTATTCAATCATTTGTTGTTGAGTTATTCAATCGTTGTTGTTGAAAAAATGAAAAAAGCACGCAAGCAGTTAAACGTGCCACGTACGTCTGCGCTTTAACTTTGTCACTAATTTTAGCAAAGTTGCAAGTTGCGAAATGTGTTCTCTTGCATTTTATTTTGCATTATTTTTTTATGATTCATACTTTGAAGATGTTATAATACAGACCAGAGATCGAGGTCCGTTTCGACAGTACTGAAAAGTACATCTAGTATTTTTATTTAATGGGAAATTTCAAACAGAAGTATTAAATATTTTTTTCAAAGCAGTGTAAAATTTATCGGATCTGCTCTAAATAAATTTAAAAAAACTTGTTTTTTTTTTTATTAGTCAACTTACTTACGACCTCGAGGAGCATCTTTGCGAATGTTACACCAACTTCAACAAAAGAAAAACGCTCTAAAGAATGCTTTACACATATGATTATAATAACTTTCAAGTATGTTTTTTCTGATCCCAAAAGTGCGTTTTGTTGAACATTGACTAAGTTTACCTTACGTGGTAAAGTTTCCATGTGGTTTGTGCGTTACGTTGATAACCTGAGTGTTATCAACGTTAAGGATTACGTCGACCATCCTAAAATTAGATAAGCATTCTGTGTTTAGTTAATTGTGTATATAAAAAAAATTTTTAAATTGTAAAATTTTTATTTTTACCATTATTTTTTTTTATATATATATTTATTTTTGGTTTTTTTTTGTTCTTTTTTTTTTCTGGTTTTTTTATATTTCTACCCGCAGTTTTATTGTTATTTTTTAAACTAAAATTATTATTTTCTAATTTTTTGTTAAAATCATTTAAGTTATTATTTTTTACGTTATTTTAAAACTTTTATATAAAAGTTTTGTATTTTGTTATTTTTTTATCTCTTCCGCATTTTTTTAAACTCGTAAACGAAATTTTTTTGGAGTGTAAAGAAAACTAAAGAAATAAAAATCAAACATGAAATCGTATTGTTGTTGATGATGTTTTATTTTTTAGTATAAAGATTTTCAAAATCCAGTATACAGAGTTGTGAAAATTGTTTTATGATTTCCTTGAAAATAGTTGTGCTTAAAAAGATTAAGTTATGTTTAAATGTTTTGTTCTATACCACCTCATAGATTAGTAATTGCGTCAATGACTCCGATTTACTGTAAACAAACCAACAATTGTATGAACTTAAAACACGTAAATACGATCTGAAATAAACTCCTTCGAATTTTTTCTAAGAGAACGCTGTTTGCGGTAGTGCAATAACAAAATTGCAACCAAAATAACGTAGGGTTTTGCTGACGTCACAAAGTAAGTGATTTTTTCCACTCATCAATCCCATAACGACTTGCGCTACAAAAAATTTTATTTTTAGCAGCGCAACCCTAACTAATCCTGGAATTAATACGAATCTCAAAGTCAATATAAAAAAATAAAAACATTTGTTTTGAGTTTTTTATAATAATTTTTATAATTATTTATGATAAATAATAATTTAATTTAAGTATATGTCTTAACTATTAGATTATTTTTCTCCCTTGACTCCTCAATTGCATGTGCATGGTAAAAAGTCTCAATGTTAAACTTTAAAAAAAAATTTTTGTATATAATCTTAAATACTTTAAACAGTAAAAAAAAATTACCCGTTTTATTTTTAAAAAACATAATGGGAGTTTTTATTGAGCATAATATATGTTTTTAGTAATAGTAATAATAGTGATTTAGTAATATTTAAGTCTTTTTAAATTACATGGCAAAATAATTAAACAAAAACGAAACCAACAAATTATACAAAAGTGTATAATGGTTTGTAAATTATAAACTTTAAATAAAATAAGCATTCGTTATTTCTCAGCAAATAAGTTGAAATACTACTAGGATAAAAAAAAATTGGTTTCACTTTTAAAAAGTCAATATTTGTAGCTTGTTTATATTAACATTTGTTAATAATAAAAAAATGTCAAAAGTTAACAATTAAACTTTGTATTGAGGCTATAAGACAATGTGATATTTAGAAACTTCTTTATGCTATAATATTTCTAAAACAATTAATTTTTGTAGATTAAAAGGAATCAATGAGGTTGCAGGAGTTGGTATTCAAAGAGTAATTAGCCAAGTATTGGAACTGGCAATTATTGAGTAGTGGTTCATTTAAGTTGAAGCAGTTTATCGAGAGTCTAATTTAAATGAAAAACTGTTTTATGGAGTTTCTGATGTTTATTATTCTACCAGCGAATCAGGTTTGATGGGAAATCAAAAACTCATACAATGATTTTGTTTTACAATTTTTTTAGTTCACGCAAACAAACTTTAAGGATATAAACTTTTATGTTTAGATGGCCATGCATCTCACATCAATTTTGAATAAAAAGATTATCTGAATCAAAAAACATAATTTTATTCCGACTGCCAAAATTTAAAATCATTTGATGTTGAAGTTTTTAAAACTGTAAAAGCAGAATCGAAGGGAGTTGTAGAAGTTTACTTGGTTAGAAATTCTTATTTAAGTTTGAGTAACTGATACTTTTCTGCCATGTTAAAAGACCTTATTGGAAATAAAGATTTTAAAGCGGAAAATAAACGTAGTGGTTTCGAAAATACTAATATATTTCCAATATAAAATATATATAAATAATAAAATATATATAAGTAATTTCAAAAATAACTTAAAATAAAACTGCAAATGGAGCTATTTTTCAAGATGTAACAAATGACGAAATTGACAATTGTGTTCTGGAAAGTCTCAAGTTTCGCTGGATAATAGCATTGGAATAATTTCAAAACTCTAACAAACATGTTATAACATGTTGTATGTGCATATGACTGAATTATTTGCAATGGATCACGACAATACTACCCAACCTACTAAAAAAAAAAACTAGATGAAAAACCAGCAAAGTTAGAGAAAAAGATTTAAACACTCAAAGAACAAAAGTTTAAATAATAAAGAAAAAAAGCTTTTGAAACTTAACAAACCCCGGAAATCTAAGAATAATAAAGAAATGTGTTAATATTTTTTCATCACTTATGAAGTTAAGATAGATGTTTATTTCGAGCATAAGTTCAGTACTTTTCGTTTATTAAATTTTGCGCTAGAAGTTTTTTACCCTAGCTGAGATTTCTCTAGTTAATAATGTTTAACTGAAGAAGTATACAGTGGCAGCGAAATTAAGCTTTTTTAATTGATTTAAAAAAATCAAAGAAAGACAGGATCTAATAAATAAATATTGTCGGCACAGTATCAACCCAATGTTACACAGTATCAACCCAATGTTACACAGTATTAACTCAATGTTACACAGTATCAACCCAATGTTACACAGTATCAACCCAATGTTACCCAGTATCAACCCAATGTTACACAGTATCAACCCAATGTTACACAGTATCAACTCAATGTTATACAGTATCAACCCAATGTTATACCCTTACATTTAAGTATAAAAGTAATTTAATATTTGAAAAACTTTCTATTTAACTCTAACCAAGAGGTCTACGCTAGTATAAACTATTTAATACTTTAAATTGAATGCTACTTTTTTGGGATTTGATAAGTGAAATCTTTTCAACTCCAGCTCTACTCCATGGTTTTCACCCTCTTGTGCAACTGCTATATCTAATTGCACTCTTTTTTTTTTTTTCATCTTTTTCAGAAGAACAAGTCTCCAGACAACAAACGGCTATTTATTATTGCATTTAAAAAAGTGCTGTTTGATGCTAAGCTCCATTATTCTTAGTTCACTAAATCTCGTATTTTATCTCAGAAGTTAGGCTCTAGAGACTTTTTGAAAATCTTTAGTTGCGTCGTTAACAAGGGTTTCGTTCATAACACTCCAGCTTCCGTTGCTAAAGTCATATCTCGATTAAACTCTTCTACGGCTTGTGGTCCAAACAATATTCCTGTTTCTAAACTAAAAGCTTGACTAAATTTAGTTTTCCTGTCTGCAGGAAAGTGGCAACTGTTGTTCTAATTTTCAACTCAGGTGAACATTCTAGCCCCTCTAATTATCGTCTGATCAGTCTTCTTTCTGTTATTAGAAAGGTCTTTGAGTCTTTGATCAACAAATTTCTCACATCATATTTTGAGTCAAATAACTTACTGTCAGACAATCAAAACGGTTTTCAATCCTATCGCTCTACGGCTGACGTGCTAACTGCTGTGACTGAAAGATTTTATCGTGCATTAGGTGGAGGCGGAAAGGCTAGAGCTATTGTTTTTGACATATCTAAAGCTTTTGAAAAAATTTGACATCCTGGTCTTCTTTATAAGCTTGTTTCATATGGTGTATCTGGGAAATTTTTTGAGAAAGTTTTATTAAAGTCATCTTCGAAGGCCAACAATCTTTTGATCTTGCTGACAAACTTACATCTTAAGTTTTTCCTGATGATCAACTTTATACTTCTGCCTAGACAAAAATACTTCTCTTTTCGATTGCTTAGAACAGGCAGCCGATCTTGAATCTGATCTCACTTCTGTAATTTGGGACTTACAGTGACTTGTAAATTTTAACTCAAACAAAACTCAGTTATTTACTGCAAATAACTATCGCAGTACTGTTCCTATATTAATGAAAAGCAACGCTCTCGCTGAGTCCTCTCCTTTACTTCTTCTTATTTTTTTTTTTATTTTATTTAGGTGCCCCAAGAAGACCTAATGGTCTTGTCACAGAGCACCGTGGAAGTGCATTTAACTAGGAAGTTCACGCCTCCTTCCTTACCTTTACGTGAAAATATGTCCAGAGCTCGTTTCGAACCTGGATTTCTTGCTTATAAAGCAAGCGCTGTAACCACTGCGCCACGGCAGTGGCGTTTAATAATTTTTGGAAAATTTTTCCACCCACCTTCGTTTATTAATTTTTACTTGTTATCAACAAAAATTAAATATCTCAAAACTCGTTAAAATAGGCCTTTTTCGGTCACCGATAAAAACAAGTTTTACTTTCAGTGTAGACAGGCTTTAAAAACCGTTGACCTAGTAAATCTCAATTTGTGAAAAATGAGCTTTTGGTTTATTTCTCACCAAAGTATAAAACTTATATCAGCATTTTTTTTTTTTTTTTTTTTCTTTTTTCTTTTTTGCATTAACATTAAAGTATTAACGTTTACAAAAGTTTACAATTAAGTTAATGGCCAGAGCAAGAAGAAGGCATTAGTTTGCCTTATTGCCGAGCACCGTGTTACAATTTATAATTTTTTACAAAGTTATTCAATCATATATAGTATATAAGAAAAATTGAATAAATGTTTACAAGAATTCAAAAAATAAAATAAAATATCGTTTAATACATAATATCATAAATAGACAAAATAAAAGTAAAAATAAATATATATAAATTTATATACACATTCGCACACTTACACATATAAGCGAACATATACCCATATATATTAACACATACAAACACACATATATAAATACATATATATACATACATACACACACACATACGCACATACACATATACA